GCACAGAGTTTGATGCCAGATGGAGGGAGATCCAGACTGTGAATTAACACATATTCCAAGTAGTCTGCTTCAACCATATCAAAATAAGTACGATGAACGCTAAAACTAACCAGTTCGGGAGGACCCGTGTCTTCTGGACGAGACATTTCACGTACATGCAAACACCCAGTAATCCTGTAAACGCGAAAAACGATAAACAAACGAAACAGCATTTCTTGAAGATCAAAATAAATCGAAGTAGCAAAGTACCAAAACCAAAACAAATCGAAACACATCAGAATAAATCGTATCAAAATAAATAAATATAACGGTCTGAGAAACGTACATGAGCTCGGTAGAAAATTTTTCAAAATTACAATGCACAATTCAGCATAAGCAAAAAGTGAAGAAAAATGGCAGTTTACGGATACACGGAGTTGGCTTTAAAAAAAAAAAAAAAAAACTGGTAACTGTGTCTATCTTGGACAAGAAATAAATATGCGCCAGAACCCTCAGCCGGAAAGTGCAAAAAAAGAAATGCCGGTGAGCGCAAATTTCGCATATCCCCAAACTGGAAGGACCGTGCCCACCTCTTGAGTACCACTGTACTTCAGTGAGGCATGCGGATATGAAACATGGTCACTCACGAAAGCTGAACAGCGATGTGCAAGCCGGGACAACGAGAGCAGTACAGCGAAGTGTACTTGACCTGACCATATGTAGACTTTCCGTCAGATGAGCAGCGTGTAGGACATCATTGCGAAAAAGTAAAATACGACGGGCAAGCCATGCTCCTCGTCTTACTCATGACCGGCTGATTCTGCACACCAATGAGTGGTACCTCGAATCAGATAACTGTTCTCCAAACCCCGCCCGAGAGTAGGCATTTCAGGGGATGAAGGACCGAGAATCCGGGGATCCCCCGGAATACTCTCAGGCTATGTCCGAGAATAGTATGACCCCTCCCCCCACTTTCCCCGAGCTTCACCTTTCCCCTGATTCTGAAGGCGGACCCAGTTGACTGTTCTCTATGTTCCGCAGAACATCCCTGCCCCGCTTCCCGAGCATCTGGGGATCTCCCGGAACACTCTCAGGCCACGCCCAGAGCTGGAGGACCCCCTCTCCTCATTTTCCCTCGCGCCCCACCTCCCACTTACTGTGAAGCTCACAAGTCTCTCCCCCTCCCTTTGCAGTGCACACTTCCTTTCCCTTTTTCTCTTCCCCCGTCTGCCAGCACGCTCACTTATCTCTGTCTTTCTATCTCTGTCTTGTTTCGCTAGCGTACAATTTTCTTTCGCTCTCTGCTCCCCCTTCACTACATGCTATTTTGCTGGTATGTGTAACAACCTGTCGTCTCTGCAATTTACGCCGTATTAAAAGGCTCTGCTCTGGGTAG